GTATCAATATTTATTGCAATCACAATGCAATGTAGATTATTCACTTTGAAATAATATATAGATACAGATCTCTTAAGTATTATGCCCACAGTTCTGGCTGATTCTTTACAGAATTCATATATATATGACTTCTAATAGCTTTTCTAATTGTAAGAACCAAGAAATTATTGATAGCCAATAGAGCATGACCTTCTCTTTTAACAGAGTTACTGGTACAATCAAATGGTAAGAATCAAAGCTGAGTTCATAAATGCAATATAAAATAATAGGGCATTTATATTAATATTCATGTATTGAACTCAGAGAATGAGTAACTTGCTATTCATCATTTTAAAACATGTTTATAGAATACAAATACATTGGTGCTTGTTTTTTTTAGTGCTGATGAAAATGAATGGTACTTGGGGACCAAGTCTGCCGATTAAAGTGTTATGATACATTACCATGCTTGCACAGAAATGAGCACAGATGGTGGATCTATTACTTCTCTAGCAAGAATTATTTTTTATTTATATTTTTTCCCCAGGATTTGTATTTGAGCAACACTTGCCCAAGTTGGACTACCTCTTTGGGGATCCTTAAAATCTTTTTTTCATTACTTGCACATTAGAAGTACAAGAAACAAAAAGTGATTAATGTTCTATTAAAACTTTATAATGAATGAAGTCTCTCAAACCAAGAGTCTGAGATTTTTATATTTTTCCCCTATCTAAACAGAAACATATTTTGCATATAAATGAAAGTCTACAGGGATGAAGTTTTGTGTATCATGCTCAAATTCCCAATAGAATATTTTGTTCTGACAGATCATTTAGTCCACATTAGAATGTGTGAAGAAGTTTTATTTATAATATTTGTTAATTAAACACAATTATATATGTGGAAAATTAAACAGCAGTATATAAGTAAAGGTTTTTTTTTTTTTTTTCTGCAAAGAACATGGTGACTTCAATACATTTTCTTTTGCTGTAAGAATTAATAAAACAATACTTCATAAGGCTTTGTCAATGCCTTATTATACACTTGAAGAAAGAAAAAGGGTATTCAACCTGATTTGTGAGCCTGTAATTACAAAAGACTCAAAGTCAAATGATGGGTTTTAAAGTCAACTGCTCAAATCTGGATCACTTCGAAGGAAGGGAAGATTTAATATATGTTAGATTTTTCAATATCAGGAATAAAATATATTTACTTCAGTATGTTGAATGTGTTCACATTTGGGGGCTTGGTACTGAGACCTCAACCTTGAAAAATACTGTTCAGCATTTATGCTGTGAACTGATAACAAAGATTGTATTGGGGAAAGGCTTACTTGCTTCCAGCTTCCAAAATAGGATTTTATTCTTTTATTTCAACCAGATCTGCATCCAGAACCTTGAAGATTAACTTCGAGATCAAATTCTCCCCGAATACAAAAATAATAAAAAAAAGAAACAAAATCTCTTGAAAGATTGCAAATATTTCAAAGTTTAAATAATCCAGCACTTCATATGAGAATTTCTGAAGATAGAAGTAGCTCCTGTGAGTGTCAAGCTGGTAATAAGGTAGAACATTTAGTAGGCCTGAAGATAAACCCTTTGAAATACGCAGAAGTTGGACCCAATGCTTTCTCTGTGATTACTGTGAATGTAATTTTGTGTGTTGTTTGTGGACTCCTGGAGTCTGCAACAGACAAAAATGTCAGGAGGATAGGATGGAATGTATCAGTTGGTGCAGATCAGGGTTTGTGCTGTTTTCAGGGCAGCTGTTTCATTTGCAAACATTTTAGTCCAGACAGTGCTCTGTTCTACTTAGGAACATAGTTGTGGAGGAAGAGACTGCAGGCAGTGAGAAACAGAGAAGAATTACAAATTTGCTTCTTTCAGAGATGGAATGGATTGCACTAGCCATGGGTGTGAGAGAGAAAAGCCAAGAACTAAAAAGAAAACAGAAGGGTGCTAAACAGTTTAGAGCATATAATGTCAAATAATATGGAGGCTGTTAATCTCAGTACTTAATGATCTACCTGTTCAATGCTAATACACTTAAAAATGTACTATTATCTAGCCTTAGAGTGCTGCTTGTCACTACGTACACTTGTTATCTTTGCTTCAGCTTCTTATCCTTCCCCATTCTCAGCTGCAAAAGCAAACCTCTGAGCAGTCAGCAAAGGTGTAGTTTGAACAATTAATGTATGTAGATTCCTGAATGAATTCCTTCCTTACAGGGGGGAAAGATAGCTTGGTAGTTATTGTATAAAATGCTTATCAAGCTCAATTTCTTTACAAAGTCATGAGTGGAGGCACAAGAATTGAGGACAGGGATATTTCCAGGCTAGAGCATGTCCACTTGTACTACATGTGAGTATGAACATCTGGACTTTTTTTTTCTGTGTTAATTTAGTAGGAAGGCTGCTATGAAGATTATCAGCCATTCACATAATCATTGTATTCAACATTGCTATGAATGTATATTTTTTAAACTTCTTTCCATGTTCCAGTGAACTGCATTAACTTCATTATGACTTGTCCTGATTGTACAATATTATCATCTATTCCAAGAAATAGAATAGCTAGAAAATCAGTAATGAGCTCAGTAAGGGCTTTAGTAACAGGCACATTTTTTTTAGTATTTACTTTTAGCTGATACAGTGCACTCTAAATACAACTGACAATATATTTGCTATAATGAAGAATGAATAATGCTGGGATCTTTAACTTGTGTCTAATCCTAGGTAATCATTGCTACAATAGCATGATACATAATAGAATTTAAATTTTGTATTATATTTACTAGCATTGTGTCTCTGGACAGCCTGGTCCAGTGGTCAGCGACCCTGCACAAAGGGAGGGGTTTGAAATGCAATGATCATTGTGGTCCTTTTCAACCCAGCCCATTCTATGATTCTATGAAATACAAAAAGCACTGTTCCTCATTAGCATGCACAGAGCTGTATTTAGGTTTAGAAGTTTGGTATTTTTTATGGGAAAACAAATGCTTTAAAGGATTTCAACAGTCAAAGACTGCTGGATCTTTGTCCATTAAAAGTCAGTAAAAAAATTGCAGTGCTTCAGAATTAGTTCACTTTCCAAATATTTGAAGAGACTCTGTCTGAGGTACTGTGTCCAGTCTTTGGGCTCCCAACACAATAGAATGCAGAGTGTCTCGAAAACGTGAGTTAGTGGTTGGCAACCCTGTTCATGGTAGGTGGTTGGAACTCAATGGCCTTTAAGGTCTTTCCAACCAAACCCATTCTGTGATCCTATGATTCTATGAATGTGAAGCCTAAAACATATCTTCTTGTAATATCTGTGCAAAGGCATGTTGTGCTATCAGATCTATGGAAAATTTAGTCATTCTGTACAATAGAGTTATTTTATATCTAGAATGTGGCCACTGTCTTTTTAGGAATGGTATCTGTGTCCTTGTATGCTTCTTTAAGAACGTACTGAATCTCACTTACTTAAGGTGATATTTAAGGAAACATCAAAAACAAAACGTTGTTGCTATGTGGCAACTTTGCTTTGATGAACAGCATTCATTATTTAACATTCTCATAAATACAGTTAAGGGAGAAAAACAAGTTCATACTTCTAAAGGGCTTTCTTTTTCTTTCTTTCTCAACACTTTTTCCCCTTTCCTCTCTTTGTAAGTTTACCTTTCATTCTCTTTCCATATTCTTTCTGTGTGCTAGTTCCCATCAACTGTTATTCAGATCATAGTCCTCTTCATCCTTTTGGTAATTCCTTTTCCAAGTTCCTCCTACCAGAGATATCCTTATTAAAAGCAATGATGAATATTAAATTTCTCTCCTTGAGCATTTTTCATTGTATAATGGCCCAAGGGTAAAGAGTCCTTGCCCCTCAGGCTTATACTTCAGAGCTTTCTGCAAACTCAGATAGCAGGCTAATGTTCCTATGATTGCACCATATACGTAGCATTTTTTCTGTGAAGCTAAGAGGACTTGCAGCAATTTTTGTAAAACTCATATTTTGCAGAATTTGAATATGCTATCTTGCCTATGTTCATCTGCAGATCTGATAGGCAAGAATTAGCCATTTCTGTCCTCTGTTCCTAATAGGGTTCCTTCCTTTTTTTTTATCAGCGAAACAGCTGGCAAAATAGTTTTAAGACAGAGATATATAAAGCTAATTTTTTGTAGAGTATGCAGACAAAACATAACATATGGAGGATATTTGCATAATGCACAGTATCTATGATAAGTTAGCAATTCGTTTTTTCTTGCATAACTTCAGTATTACATAAAGAAATAGGAAGCTGAGGAATGGCATCTTCATAAGCCATAGAATTCTGCTAAATGGTTATTTTTAGTATTGGCATTTTGATATATTAGCCTGTTAGAACCACTGTTCTACTTACTACATTGATACATACTTAAATGAGCATTTATCTGGTTTCCGTGGCTTATTTTATGCATATCCATCCACTAAATAAATTTTGGCCTTCTCTGTACTTACATCAGTTATGTAATGTCAAATAATTTGTGCATAATTTGGCTATTGTCCTGCAATACGTATTCAAGCTGCTTGTACATTCACAGAAACACTAAGAAACTTCAGATAGTTCCAAACATACAGTGTATGTAGAATATGGAGCGTTTTTTTTTTGTTTTGTTTTGTTTTTTCTGTTTTTGTTTTTGTTTTGTTTTTTTTTTCAAAGCCTGAAACGTTATGCATTTAGGCAATCACTGTGCAGTTTGTATTTAACAAAAATTAAAATGGAGATTAAAAGTATGCAAAGAGAAATGTTTCTTCCTACAAAATGTAGATAACACTTTTCTCATTAAAGTTTGCAGCAAAATTAAAACAATAACAAATAACACAATGTTGTGGGATAAAATAATTATACTATATTTCTTTTCTATTAGAAATATATGCACAAAATTAATACATCTCATTAAAGTGTAATGTTGGTTCCATGAGAATTGAGTTAATATGAAGTAGAAAATGAGTGAGAGCAGAATAAGTTACATCTTTGTGTGTGTTTCTATATTCAAATAGCTACACTCATCGTGTGGTTGGCAGTGGAATCAAAGATCAGTCTGGGAATCCAGAAGTAAGAGTGAAAGGAAAAGATCCGTAATAAATCAGATTATTGACAAGCTGAAACGTTATTCAGGTAAGTTACTTCTATCTCTATACACAGTATAGAGCTAAAAGCAATCTAGTGGTGAACACATGAATTTACTATATTTTATAGTGTAATTATTAATTCAAGTCATTACTCCATGTACACACACACAAAACAAACAAACAAACAACAACAAAAAAAGCCCACAATACCCTACCCTCTTTAATCCTTCTCACTTAAGTTATTAAAAATGATGTAGTGAAACAGTTTGCATATGGTAGACGAGTGCAGGGTGTAAGAGTGGCAGCTGGGCCATATGCAGCTGTGAGTACCAGTTCAGCATTGTATTAAGCCTAAGAACAAAAGTATAATTTAGAGAGATTAACTGAGTGCGTATATTTAAAAACAATTAGAAGGTAATTTCCATCGTCTCTCTTTTCTAAATCAAAATCTTAACCACTGTTGCTGTGAAGTTTATTGTTTAGGAATCAGACAGAAATGCTAGAAAGTTTGAATAATAACTTGCCTACTAAAGAAGTTGGTGTTCACTACCTGATGCACATATAAGTGAGTTACTAAATCTAAGGCTTACAGAGCATTGAATTCCAACATGGTCTTGCAGTATTGTAATACATTAACAACACTGCATGTATTGTTTGCCGTACTCATTAGTATCTATATACAGGGAGAGCCGTAACAATAGGACAAAGTATCTGACTGTGTTGAAAGCAACAAAATTTTTGCTGGCAACTCTGCACTTCAGTTAGAAAATATTTTTTTCTACTATGATCTGAAAACTCAGTGATACAAACTGCTCCATTGGCATCTTTTGTCATTGCCCTGTCTAGCACAAAAACCTCTCTGCATTGATGAAAAAGAGAGGCTATATAGGGGAGGCATGCAAACTTGACAGACTTCCCTCTCCATTCTCCTTCTCTACCTCATTTCTCAAGCATGAAAATTAGGAATTAAATAGGTTTGTCTTGCCTAGTGCATTTTGCTCCATTTAAAGACTTGCTTTAATTTTGTTTTCCCTTCTTCTTGGCAACTTTTAAGTACAGTCTCCAAAACCGTTTCTGTAGTTGAAATAAGCAAGCCATTCTAAGATTATCAGTATCTTCATGTTGAATTCTCATGGTTCCTGTATTTCTAAAAAATAAAAACAAAAATAAAAATAAAAATAAAAATTGTTTAATAACAACAAAGGAAAGAATGTTAAAATAGGAAGAAAAAAAAAAACAAAAAACAACCAACAGAAAAAATATTTTCCGTCAGCAGTTGTATTCTGGGAGAAATGGCATCCAGATTCCTTTTCTTATGTTAGGAATATAATCATTTCTTTATTTATATTAGATTTATAATCACTATTCCTTCCTCCTAGAAAGAAATATCCCTTTTAACCCTCCAGCTTTAGCATGCATAAGTCTCTACTTCTTTATTAAAATAGTGCCGAAATGGTAAGAAAATGAATACAATTTTGTCTTGAAATAGATGCTGTGGCTTAATTAAGAACTAAAAATTATTAGGCAAAGAATAACATTGTAAATCTTACTGGGTAAATCTCAAGGTCTTTCATCTGTCACGTATACCCATTCTTCTCTCTTTAATATTAAATCTGCACAGTATAGTTTATTGTGTGATTTTCCTCTAGAGACCAGGAGTTGTGTTGCTCCCTCCTTGGGTAAGGATCTAAAAGAATGGAATAGAGCGATTCCATTATAAGGCATTTCATTTTGAGAACTTATTTGCCCTTGTCCCCAAAGGCTGGATGGGATCTTGGAAAGAAAGACTTACAGTCTATATACTGTGAGTCCAGCTAACTTGCAAATACATTGTCTTTCTATGTGATAGTTTCCTTTCTTGTAGCTCTGAGTATAGAAATAGGGCCAGGGGATAAAAAGAGCAACAAATACCTTAGAGACCCAATATATACTTGTTTTTCCTCAGATAAAAAGATTGAAGAAATTACAGAAAAAGCTTTCTTCACTAGCTTTTACTGCCTGGAAAAGGAGGATAGCAAGGGTAAATTAGAGATTCAAATACAAAAGCTCACCTTTGTGTCTTCTGTGATATGGAAAGGATGAATCACATATTAAGCTTACAAAGATAAAATTAAGTAAGGGGAGTTTAATAGATTGTGGTGTCACCTCTCAGGCAGAAGTCCTCCTTCTACACACTTAATTCCTGCTGTCTATCCAAGCAGTAATACTGCATTACAACAGCTTAATTTGGTAATTCAGTAAAAAAATAAAATAATAAAATAAAAAAATAATAAAAGAAATCATGTTTCTCTTGCTTTTCATAACTAATAATTCTTCCACTCTGTAGATGTTTCTATACTCTAATTTAGCATTAAGGCTGCCAGCACGATATGCAATCTTCTATTTCTGTAGGCAACTATATATACTTTTTATATAATTTTTTATATAAATTCCATGTTGCTGTAACCTTGCTTGCTAGTAAGTCCAATTTCGTTATTTAGTTGTGTTTCATATGGAGCATGAAATGTAGCAATTTTCTGTCTGTATTAGGAAATGGAAATGAGTAGCAATTCAGTTTTATATGACTTTTCACACCAGCCTTTAAATATTTCAAGATGTGAGATATCAAAGCAGCACTGCTCTCTGTCTCATGATGCCATGGTACGGTACCATCCCTCCTTCTCAGTCACAGTAAGATCTCTGTACACCAGCCTAAATATAGCCTGATTTTATTCTATTTGTATATCCTGTCATGGTACAAAGGCCTTTAGGACTGAGACATGCACTTGGTAAATATCAGTGCCCAGCAAAGAATCGGAAGCTTTGCTTCCGGTACTTTTCATGATAAATATTGTGAAAGGCACAGTAATGCAGTGTAACCAGAGGTAACATATGATGTCTGTTTGCAGCAGGGATGGGATTCATTTCTGTAATCAGAATTTAGGTGTAGTTATAATCTGTGGAGCTTGGAGAGCTGTTCTTTTGGCCAAATCTGAGTTACTCTTAAGGATACAGCCTCACAGATTATAAATGGAGTTTGGGTACATTGCCCACAAGTTGGCATCTATGCTACAAACACCTGCAAATGTTTCAAGGATTTCACCATTGTGCTCTGTTTCTGAGGAGTTTAAACACACAAACCAGAAATGTGTCATTTTCTAAGGAGAAATATTTAGCAGGTAAACTTTTTGTTTTCTTCATCCTTCTGCTTTTTCAAAGGGTATGTTGTACCACAGGGTCACCAAACAGTAAACAAATCTGAAGTGTACTCAAAAATGAGGCTTTTTGCTTTTACAGGAGCCTCATCTGGGCTAAAGTACTTGCAATAAATTGACTGAGATCATAGGTACAGTTCAGACAGGAAGTCAAAAATACATGTTAAAAAAAAATCTGATTAAGCACTTATCTCTAATAGTAAAAAAAAATAAACACATACACACATATATATAAAACAAAAGAGGGGTTAGTTACTAGTTTGAAGAGGATAACCAGTTTGGCATTTAGAGTAGATAATTTAATGCAGATTTATAAATCAGTCCAGGTTCTTTGCCCATCTGAAAAAGTAACTACCTTTACTATGTAGAAGAAGAAAAACCTCATTGCTTTCTGAAACTTTCTCTGTTATCAAAGCAAATGGCACCTTTTCTCATCAGTTTCACTATATTTCCCTTCATACTTTCAAGGATCTCAACAGGAAGGCAAGAGGGAAATTATGAGGGCTGCTCTGAAAGTAATGCTTCACCTTTTCTTATTTTGGCCAGTTATATCAGAGGCAGATGGTAGTGGTGTGGCAATAGTTCAGCCTTTCCACCAAGATACATTCACATTTTGTTGCTGTGTGACAGATGGCAGCAGAGGGGCAGTCTGACAAAATGACATGTGACATGGAAGTGCACATGAAACAAGGTGTGGAATTGAATTCCTCCATGCAGAGAAAAGGGAGGGCTCATTGAGGGAGAGTCCAGTGACTAAAATCAGACTGCATATTTATTGTAAAAATGGCTAAATATTACCAAGAAGCAGAAGAATAGATACATTAAACATTCTTTTATGATCATCTTTAATGTGTACATGAAAAAAGAAATCAAATTTGATCTAATAGATTTTATTTTGCCCTTCCTGTAGAAAAGAATAAGGCTATCCTAGTGTTTCCTGTTTTCTTGCTATATAGATACAGAAGTGTTTAAAATCTATAGAAAATAATCTGCTTTAAAATATGTAAACATTTGGTGCTTAAACATAGTCTTTGATTTCGAGGGTCTATTCTGTTTAAAATACTCTAACTTGTTGCTAAAACTTGTTGCTTAAGGGAAAGCATCTCTTGTAAGGAGGCTTTAGTTTTTGGGCTACTCTGCCAGGTTTAAATTACAATTGTTCACAAACTTTACAAAACAGATTTGTTTAGTACATGCCACAGTGGCCCATATGTCATTTCTCCATTTTGAGAGGCTCAAGGTAATCTTCCGTCTTTTTCTGTAAATAGTAGATTTACCAAAAATCAATAGAACCTTTGATTCCTTTGGACCCTGACTGCTATAATCTGTGCTCTGGACTCTACAGATCCGTGCTCCCAGCAGTGAAGTGCAATCAGAGGAACTGGCATGAACTTAGGTGAACCAGTCAGTGATGAAAATGGTTTGACAAAGTCACCTTCTTCTGTAAAAATCCTCACTTGGACAGACTGGTGTTTTGAAGAGCTTTTTAAATGACTCTTCCGCATTCATTTATCTTCAACACTGGGTTCAGTGTATATTCTCTTATGTACTACAATCTGCAGCTATCACTCTTATTTAATAGGCAATCACGATAAACAAAGTCAGTTGCATATGGTAGCAATAATAATGGTAATTATTTTTCTTTTATTCCCCAATAATTTAAGGACACAATTCATTTATCTTATTTGCAAGCACAAATGCTAAGGTTATGAAATAAGTATATTTTGGTACTGTTATTACAGGCAATTGGATCTTCATCATTTCACTGTATTTCTTCTTTCAAAAGATAATCTCAGAAGTACTGATTTTAAAAATAATGGGTATTTCTTGGAATTCATATTTA